ATAATCGATTATTGAAAAAGTTGTCAACTATTTCAATCATCGATTAATCGGCTTCCGATTGGTTGCCCCTGTTCACGGCTCCACACACGCTGCGCGCCACACCTCTTCCCCACCTCTGCCAAGCCCGCCCGCATCCACGTTCCACACCTCCTCCCCGCCTCACGCTCACTGCTTGCCCAAATCCACGATCGGCACAGGGACGCGGGGAGAAGTGAGGGGATGACAGCCGCCGATAGACAGGCCCGATCTCAGAAACAAGTTGCTGGAAGACTGCTCAGGAAAGCCTGCACTTTCCCACACATGGTGCTCTATAATGTATTGCTGGGATTTGTATTCCTCTATAGCTGATGGTACATTGTGCTCTATATTATACCATCAGCTATATAGGAATACAGATCCCAGCAATACATTGTACGCTGTATGTATAATGTATTGCTGGGATTTGTTGTATTCATATAGCTAGTGGTATTCTGCATTGCACTATATAGAGGACTACAAATCAAGGAATAATATATTATACAGCGCAATGCGGAATACCACCAGCTATAGACGAGTTCAACAAATCCCAGCAATAATACATTATACAGCGCAATGCAGAATATCATTAGCTATAGAGGACTTATAATCGGCTAACTAATCGATTTTGAAAATAATCATTAGCTGCAGCTCTATATATATTTCACAATAGCATACACATACAATAACACAAAAGGACACAGAGCATTATGTAGGGCACTTGTTAAACTTTGAAGTGGGAACAAAAACACCACAAGGAAAATAACTCTGTTTACCTTCCTGGTTTAGTGCTGTACTTTTGTAAACGTGCCTTGACCTCGTCATATGTTAAAAATGCCATATAGCCAGGGTGAGTCACTGCCAAAAAGTTCCAGTTCCTTAATATGGAGCCCCAGGGCTGAGGAAGGAATGGGAAGAGATATACACTGGTGTCAGACATTAAAAATAAAGCAATCTATTTAAGAGCTTACGTTTTTGAAACATTTACAGCTAGGTAAAAACTTATACAATGCACATCATTTAAATTGATCATATACTGATACAATTATGTTCACATATTTAAAAGAAAGAGAACCCCTGCTTACTCAAAACTTGGTGGTTTCAAAATGGTGTTTCATAATGAAGCACAACACATGCTATGCACTGCCATGAGTAGCCAAGCAAATGGGATTGCAGTCAATATGTTAGGGTGCCCACACACCTTACGATAACTGCAGGAAATCCCGCGATCGTACGATTATCGTAAGGTGTGTGGAAGCCGTGCGACCTCCACTACTGTAAGGTTGCACGACTTAACTTATGAACATGTACGAAAACCCGCCGAGCATCGTACGATGTTCAGCAGGTGTGTAGCATGTTCGTAAGATGAAAGCAGGACGGGCCGGTGTGCGCAAGCGCACGCTGCCTGTTCAGCATTGCGGTCATCGGAAGCTCGCCCCTCAGGGAGGCGCGGCTTGCGATCATCGCAAGTACGATCTGCCTGTCCAAGATAGGCAGATCGTACGTTTTTTTTAACTACCTTACAACCAGCGCAAGACAAAAGTCTTGCACTGGTTGTAAGGTGTGTGCCCAGCATAACAGAGTTCAAAGATCTCTTGACAAGACCTAGATGAGCTGCATTATGCTCTGTGTAAAACAGAAGGACATTCAGCCACATAACCAGCTAAGTGCTAAACACCAGTGGAAATATCTTCTTAACGAAAACCTGTGCTCATTAAAAGAAAACCTGTGATATATTTCCCTTTCTCTTATGCGACAGTGCTAGTACTCTATAACTGGCCAAGTTATGTTACACGGGGCAGGTTAACAGCCCTCAGCCAGGAATAAAGCCCAACTACAGCAATTTAGAGATTACACTGGGCTTCCTTTGCTTGCTCCATGTAGCTGTCAGTGGAGCAGTGGAGGAGCAAGGGTAGAAGTAGAATTTGCTGGGGAAGGTAGCATTAAAGTGACCCTGTTTCACCCTGCATGGACAAAGCAAGGATTTACAGCCTTAGGCATACCCTGCACTATAGGAATATGTCCACCTATAGTATGCCTTCCAGTGCTGCCGACATATATGCATGTCACAACATTTTGTTCCATTAATCTTTCTCTGTGGCAAATGTGTCACCAGTTCAACAAAGTTATACAAAAGGCTACCCGGCAAAGAAAACAACTCCCTTCCCTTTGGTGCTGCCGATCTCTACAGTCCTCAAGCAGTACATTGGCTAAAAAAATCATCTTCATTTGACACGCTTCCGGGTGCTGCTACTTCACTACTGTGACCTATAGTGATATAGGGGCCGGCAGAAGAAACCATAGGGCAGAGGGGGACCAGGCACTCCCAAAGTATTACAATGGCAAAGATTTTTGAGCCAGTATAACGCGTTAAGACAGCAAAAATTGTCAGCAAGAAGGATAGCCTAAGATGTGAAGACCTGTATGCTTCTACATCTAAAATATGACTGACCTTCTGTTGTTGTGTTAACACCTGTTAATGCAACTATGGCTGTAAAAATAGCATTTTAAGGACAAACTTCACACATGCTCTGTGTCAATGACCTCAGCCCTACTGATGTGAAATTATAGCAGGTGTACAAAGAATGGTGGCAATTTGCAAGGATAACAAGGAATTGTATAAACACAATTATTTCCACATATTGAGAGAATGTCTTAGCAACAAATGGATAGTTTTACATTTTCCTGGAGTTGTTCTTCAAGAGCAGCAGACCTTAGAAAACATTCTAGGAATTGCTGTGCAATTGTTGGTGAAACATCACTTCTACTATACGAGTGTATTCTCTTTCTAAGCTTTAAGCCACTTAATTTAATAACAAAACTTACTCTCAGTATAGTCGCTCTAAATCAGCTTAAGTTGCATCCCTGTGAAAATGTGAAGATAAGCGGAATATGGTTTCAGAAGGAGTATTAGGATTCTGTGGAAATACCCAGGACAAGCCTGTGCCATGATGGCCTCAAAGTGGATTATTTTTATCTCCGCCACAGAAAAAAAAGAAGACCAAAACAAACAAAAATCAGTCAACACTTTCTAAAATGATAAAAAGTTCAGCCTAAACTTTGCAACAATAGACTGTAACTAATTATAGGAGTGTTAAATTTTTTTTTTGATTAAAAAAAGCTTTCAGAAGGCCAGTCCAGTTATCAGAATCATACTGCTTAATAATGTGCTTTGGAAAAACCTATCAATTATGCAGGAAGGAAATGAGAAATCTCACAGCTTTTCAAATGTTATTTTTAGATAAGAGAAAACAAAACTAAATTTCAATGAGACGGCTGATGTTTTAAAGTAAATATAGCATATGCTTTTAAACACTGCATATTTTTTTTTTTTTCAGTACATAAACTTATGTACTTAAACATTTATGTAAAGGGCTTGGTTTTTTTCATGGGAATTGCAAACTGAATGGAAGCTATGATCCAGTGCTGGAGGTTTATACTGCTCAAACTTGAGTGCAAAAAACACCAGTACAAATTCACAAAGTGCAATGCCTGTCGCAGAACGAGCGCAGCTTCTACCGCATGTAAACAAGCAAACACAACAATATGTTTGGGGCAAATAAATATTTAAGAAGGTTGGTCATAAGGTCTCCTCATCTTCCTTAAAAGGAGAACTATGGGGTCAGTGTTTTTCCCCATAGTTCTCCTTAGGGTAACGGGAGGACACAAACTAGCGTCCTCCCGTTACCCTAAGCTCAGTATACAGCGAGCTACAGCTCGCGGTATACCGAGACGCCGCAGCGGATCCCGGCGTAGATGACGGGATCCGCCCAGCTGCGTGAGTGACAGCTGGCTCTGCCTATCTAGAGGCAGAGCCAGCTGTAGCCGCCCCCTCCCCCGTCCTTTCCGCCAGTCAGCGCTGGCAGATCGGAGCGGGGAGAGGGGAATCCAGCCCTCCCCCTGTCACGGCAGAGAGCTGTGACAGGATCGAGAGGTGAGGGAACCCGGTATGTGTTCCCTCACCTCCCGATCTACTGAGCCGACCTGTGACAGTCTCATTGTCACAGGTCGGCTAGAACTATGAGGTGAGTGGAAATCACTCATCTCATAGTTCTCCTTTAACATCGGCACCAAAAACAACAACATTATATAACAAAGTGTTCCAAAAGTTCCTGATGCTGATCCACAATACCCGTTACATACAGAAAAGGAAGTAATTTAAATAAAAGGCAGATTTTCTGCAGAAAAAGGCCATTTTAATCCCTCTCTGCTAATAAACTGCACACATATGGTGTGGTCTCAGTTTTTGAGGCCGAGGAATATCCGTTTGAATATCCAGTAGCCATGACAAGAGATATGATTATTCAAACGCCACGTGTATATGCCTCCTCTTGTATCCTTGCCCACTCCTTAATTATCAGTCATATTGAGCAACTAGTAACAAAGTTGCACAAACAATCTCAATATGCTGTAGAGATGGTTACTGGAAAGTCTCAAATTAAAAGAAAAAAAGGTTTATGGAGTGGATGAGTATGCCCATATCAGCATATCAGTGATCTGATCACTGGGCGGGGATGAATCATCACCAATAGTAAGAGCTACAACAGTTTGAGGTGCAAAAAAAGCAGAATTAACAGTCTAATAATTCCTTCCCCCATTCTATTATTGACATCCCAGCATTAAAAAAAGAGCAGGCAAGCAAAATATATAGAGCCTTGGTTCTCAACTGGTGGGTCGTGACCCAAAAGTGGGTCGCGGTGTGCCTTCCACTGTGCTAGGTGAAAGGCTCCTCAGCTCCTCCTGTCAGTTCTCTTGCCAAGCAGCCATTTAAAATATGTTGCCCGGTGCCGAGTGTCTGCTTGATGTGGGATGGGGCTATTGCTGTGAGGGAGCTCCATCCATACGTACAACTCCCTTGCTTATCCTGTAGAGGTGCCTGGACCAGAGTGATGTCACATTCTGGTTCCCGGAACCTCTACATGGCACACATATGGATGAAGCTCAATCAGAGCACAGCAGTCCACACTGGACCCCAAGCTGAGGATCAACTCCAGCTCTTGTAAGGTATGGAGACTGGGTGGATCTTTTGAATGGCATCCCAAACACACCTCCTACCCACAGTTTGATCGCCCGCATCGGAACATGCGGTACCGCAACCCTGTGCGTTCCATTGCAGTGCGACTTGGGTCGCGATTTAATGACCAAGTACAAATGTGGGTCCTGTGGTTACACAGGTTGAGAACCACTGCTATAGAGGAACCCTGGTTCAAAGGTTTGTTTAGGAAACTAAATAAACCCCTGCACCAGGATTCCTCTATACCAGGTAAGAGACTAAATGCTGAGGCCATGATCTGAGCCAATGGGGAGGATAGCTTAAAGTTATCATCTGTCTGGATATGCTTAACTACCGTCCCCAAAACCCCTTGAGGTAAGACTGCTTAACAAACACCTAAAAATGGATCCTCAATTGATGTACTGGTGTAGTCAGAAGGGCGGGGGGGGGGGGGGGGGGGGCCCACGGAGTGGGGCTCAAGAGAACACAGGACAACTTTAAGCTAAAAGCAGTGTGAGCTGGTTTATACAGGTATGATTATTGCATTCTGAATTAGTCTACTGCAGATTCTTTAACAAAGAACTGCAGGGCAAAATAAATTCAACGGAATCAAGCACCACATTCCTGGAGTGTTTGACCTTGCCTGGCAGCATGGCTGAACTTGACTGCACAAACTGTGTTTTAATGCTGTCAATTCTATCACATAAGCAATTTGTTCAAATGTCTCTCCACTTCATTAAAAAAAAAAGTATATTCTGTATGTGCAGAACAGACTGCTGATAATACACAATGTTAGTGCACACCCTTTAAAAGTTGTACCAAATTAAAGGTGGGAAACACAGTGGTCTTTCAGCACTGGGGGTCTCAGGTTCGAATCCCAGTCAGGTCACTATCTGCAAGGAGTTTGCATGTTCTCCCTGTGCTTGTGTGTGTTTCCTCTGGTTTCCTCCCACACTCCAAAGACATGCTGGAAGGTTAATTGGTTCCCGTCTAAATTGGCCCTGTATGAGTGCACGTGAGATAGGGACCTTAGATCGTAAGTTCCTTGGGACTAATGTGAATGTACAACTATGTTAATTGTGGGTGCTATCTAAATACCTGGCAATAAATTAGCCAGCATGCAGTGTACATGCATGATCCCGCACACAAGCAAAACAGAAATGCTTTTCAAGTCATCATTTTTGCTTAAACTGCTTGCTACTGCCATGCAGACTGACCTAACGAAGCCTAAAGCTGGCCATACACGGTTATATATTTTTTGATCAGCCTGTAGGATGAACGAAAAAAATATAACAAATTCCTTCATCCACACTAAACAGTACAGAAGACTAGATGCCAGAGTTGGAAGTTTGTAACTTGTCGGAGACGGTAGATGGAAACGAGTGGGAGGCAAACAGGCAAAGCACAGGTGAAACAAACCCCAGCAGTTCCAGATGCACAGGTAGGGCACAAAACAATTATTTCCATTGTTTCCATCTCCTATAGTAAAATACAGAAGAAACCCCATGATTTTTAGATTTGTGTTGTAAGTGACAATATGGAAATATGTTCTGTTTTTTAGAAAGCAGTGTTTGGCAGTGCTTGAAGTAAGGGGTTTTCGCTTCTTTTAAGCCCATCTAATACTAAGCCGATGATCTATCCAAATGACATTATTTTCAATGCAATTTTACTCTGAATTATCTTCGATTTTAAGCTCTCCTAACCATCTCGTCTTGAATTGTATTGTAATGTCTTCCCTTTATTGTAAATCGCTGTATAAGAATAATAATAATCTGCTTCTAAAAAAAAGGTACAGATGTTAACTCTGTATCCTGCAGCTCAATTTTAAGACTGCCTCACAAAAGTTAAACAGTGTTGATGAGCTGAAAAAAATTAAAACATTTTCAAATAATTTCTTAAAAGGAGAACTATGGGGTCAGGGCTTTTCCCCATAGTTCTCCTTAGGGTAACGAGAGGACACAAACTAGCGTCCTCCCGTTACCCTAAGCTCAGTGTACCGCGAGCTACAGCTCGCGGTATACTGAGACGCCGCAGCCGGAGCGGATCCCGACATCGTTGTCGAGATCCGCCCAGCTGCGTGAGTGACAGCTGGCTCTGCCTATCTAGAGGCAGAGCCAGCTGTACCCGCCCCCTCTCCTGTCCGATCCGCCAGTCAGCGCTGGCGGATCGGAGCGGGGAGGGGGGAATCCAGCCCCTCCCCTGTCACGGCAGAGAGCCGTGGCAGGATCGAGAGGTGAGCGAACGTCGGTATATGCAGAGAGCCGTGACAGGATCGAGAGGTGAGTGAACGCCGGTATATGTTCGCTCACCTCCCGATCTACTGAGCCGACCTATGACAGTCTCATTGTCACAGGTCGGCTAGAACTATGAGGTGAGTGAAAAGCACTCACCTCATAGTTCTCCTTTAAAGAACTCCTAGATTGATATTAAAAATGACAGGGATATGTTGACTTTCAGACAAGCGCTGGACACCGGTATCTTATGAAAGTCCATCAGATGGACAGGCCTGAACAACACCTTGATATTCTGCGTATAAGGAAATATAAAAAAGGAGAGATGTACGGAGAACACAACCAACCTGAAAAAGTCTTGTAAAAATATCAAATTCAAAAACTGAAATGTAATCATTGCATGTCAAATCAATGGTAGATTTCAAAGCCATTGCTTCTAATCCAGATGTGATTTGATGGACTTCCTGAAGGCACTGTCTAAATACTTTCCATGGCACGATGGTTCTGTGAAGGGAGAGAAAAAAAAAAAACAGGTATGGTTTGTTGCGTACCAATGTATGCACACAGTGCACAATATAAATTAAATCTATAGGTGTTAGAAAACATCTATAAGCCTGAAAAGAAAGGTACATTTTTAACCATGTACAGTTTAGCCATTTAAAAACTACATTTTATTAACCCTTTCCCTGCCACCGACGTAAGGCATATGGAGGTACACAACCGTTTCCAGCTGGCCATGTCAGTAAACCTTGCGTCAGTGACTTTCACACTACTATAAGTTAATAGTTGCTTTAGCGACCATGCACTTATAGCAAAAGGGTTCTCCTGACTCTCCCCTGTAAATGAATAGCTGTCATTAGCGGCTGGAGGAGGGAGCTGTCAAACTCAGGATGGCCGAGCGGGGAGGAGAGTAGAGCCGCCGGGTGTCAGATCCAAGATGGTCGAGCGGCTGGGTTGCATGGCCATGTAGGTCAGGAAGGAGAGTATCGGATTGGTAAATATCTGCAATATTTACCAATCCCTCCCTGTGCACAACACTGGAGTGATCGCTGATTACGCCAATGTTTGTGCCAATGAATAAAGAGGAAGTGATTTACAACACTCACTACAGAGGCTTCTAGCCATTCATAACTGGTTGATGGTATATATTTACTATCTCCAGTTTGTAAATGAATGGGAAGCCACTGTATTGAGTGATTTCTTTTTATTCAGAACAGGGGCTGCAGAAAAAGAGATTAAGGGGTCTGTGTCCTCAATTTATTTTTCAAAAGGGAAATGTCAGGGGACTGTTTAGACCCCTAATATTTCCCAGAAGCCCCCCCAATAGCAATAAAAAAATTAACCCCCCCCCCCCACACACACACACACATATTATACACGTGCAATAGTGTGCACCATATATATTAGAGTTGTATAATAGTGTGCACCATATATATTAGAGCTTTTAGAGTTGTAACCATATATATGGTTACAACTCTAAAAGCTGCAGTTTAAATTGTTTTTTTTAAAGTGAAAATTTGCACACAAAAAAAGGGTCTGGCCAGCTGAGGTTAAAAGCATTTAGCAGGGCTCAGCAGAGAAATGGTAAACTCCAGGCACAAAAAAACTTTCTTTACATATATTCCTTAATAGCACAAAGTATATACATCTATTTTTGTGCATCAAATGCCTTTGAAAACCAGATAATACCTTTTAAAACTGTGGTGACATCATTGTGCTCTACTTAGTTTGTACAGAAACCAGAGTTGTGGGAGAATTAGCAAGTCCACCCACTACAGGGGTTCAGGGGCGGATACAAGACCAGTCACCGTGAACAAGGAGAAAGAGCAGCCGTGGCTGGTTTAATACAGTAAGTTCGTGGAGAGGCAACAATTCACTCTGGATTACTTACCAGATCCAGAAGAAATACACAAAAAATAACAATTAATGCACAAGCCATACTTTATCTCAGAAAGATTAGTCTATATATTAAAAAACGGCCAAAACAATTTAACAAACATGTAGCCGGCAGTTTTTTACTAGTTATAGCAGTAACTCTTATTTTATTCATGCAAGTTTGCGCTGTATGTCAGTTGAAGTTTGGAGTTTCATCGCTCCTTATCCTCCCTTCTTGCGAGTAGCACTATAGTTGGGTTTGCTGTATTTCATTTGCTTGCTCCTCTTATGTGATGCAGTTTTCCTTTTCTTTTGTTAAATGTATTTATTGGCTTATGTAGGGTCCCATAACAACTTACTTTACTAATTTAATACTATGCAGAAAAAAAAGGATGAAAAAAACATGAGAATCTTTGTTAAGCCATATTTTTTTTGTTTGCATAAGAACTAGGGTTTGGGATAGGAGGTGTTGAGAGAAAAAAGGGGAAATCTGTTTTATTACTACTATTGTTATTATTTAAAAACTGTTCAATAAAAACTGCCCATCAGCATAGCCTGTTTACATAGCCACTGCTCCTCTGTCACTGAAAATCCATAGGTGCTAGATCTGCTAAAATGGGAAGAAATGCCATGGTGGTTTCCCCTTTGACTTAGCTGTGTGTTGTGAACAGACCTCAACAGGAGATCAAATAATACAGGATATTCAGGCTCATGCACATCGCTTTGGTGAAAAGCTGAAGATGCAACAAATGTACAAAGTTAACACTTCACTTTTTTTAAGCAAAGGTTGATTTTTTTTTAATTTAGAGGGTTTTTTTTAGAAAATGGAAATCACTTTTTTTTTTTTTTTAAGGCCTGCAACATCTTCACAAGCCTTTCATTGCCACTAGAGATGCACCGATACCGGTTTTTTGGTATCGAGTACAAGTACCGATACTTGTATTTCGGTACTCGTCGATACTGAGTACCGATACCGGCACTTCCGGTAGCATAGAACCGTCTTCCCGGGCAATCAGGAAGCCAGGAAGGCTTCTTGATTGCCCGGGAAGCCGACTCCATTCGGTTTGGCCAGGAAGCCGGCTTCCCAGCCAATCGGCATAGAGGCAGAGAAACAGATCTGACAATATGGTGGCACGACCCGGCACCTAATTCCCCTCACATAGATCCGTATCGCATTCATTAACGTACCAGTCCCTCGGCCAGCGCTCTCCAAGTGGGCAGACACCGCTCTCCAAGATCTCCCCACGTCCCCTGTGTACAGTGCCCACGTGATCGGCGCTCAGCCTGGTACTGTGCATGCGCAGACTGCCCAGTGCCCTCATTTCAGAAATCCTGTGCATGCGCAGTAGCAGGCTGAACGCTGATCACGTGAGCGTTGTGCAGTGTGCACACAGGAGATGGCAGATCTGGCCGAGGAACTGAATGCTAAGGATCTGAGGGGAATTAGGTACCTGCAGGGTGGGGGTCGTGTCGCTATATTATCAGATTTGTTTGCCCGGCTCGACACTGATGCTGGCTTCCCGGCCAATCAGCATCAAGCCAGCCAAACATCATGGAGCCAGCTTTCCGGCTCCATCTTTCCTCGTGGCACTGCCAGTCAGAGGAAAGCTTCCTGTGACCGGAAGTTCTAGTATCGGGAAAGGTATCGGAACATTTGGGTGAGTACTCTCCCAAATACTTGGTATCGGCACCGATACTAGTATTGGTATCGGTGCATCCCTAATTACCACCATTGAAATCGAAGCAGTCAAGTGGAAAATTGTTGGCTGAACAATGAGTGCATCCTATCACTCATTTTTCAGGTATTCAGGCAGCTGTGGATGTCGATTGTATGATTACAATAGCCCGCAGTGCAAATTCCTCCATCCGCACTGTTTAGCGTGGATAGGGGAATCATATGAAATATTTTGTTTATTCCGTGGGGCTAAGCAAGAGAAGTCTACAAGTGTATGGTTAGCCTAAGGCAGGGGTGTCCAAACCTCGGCCCTCCAGCTGTGGTGGAACGACAAATCCCATAAGGCATTGCAGGATTCTCATAGCTACAGACATGACTCCCGGAGAGAGATGCATCATGGGATTTGTAGTTTCGCCACAGCTGGAGGGCCGGAGTTTGGACATTCCTGGCCTAAGGGCTTTTCTAAAAACTAAAGAGAAGCACAAACAGCACAAAGGGCAATAGTAATGTGAAAACGGCATTACCCTACCATAACCCATATGTTTGTTTTTTCTGTAACCAAATCAGTGAAGGTTGGATACTGACTGGCTGTAGACAATAGAGGAGGTGGTTCAACCATTCGGTAAAACGTGAGAAAAAAAATAACCACAACAAAGGTCTATGTAAAACTTGCCGACGTAAGCAGTTGGGCACATGAGGCAACACTAGCACATCATTTTCTTAAAGTGAAACTAAGGTCAGCAGTTAAATCTGAAAAATACATTCATGTACCTTAACTATTAACAAAAATGTATCTTATTTCTGTATCATTTAGCTATAGACCCTTAAATCACCTCTGAATATGTGCAGACACTGTCCTTCCTTTTGGAGGGTGGCTACTTTTGTTCCCATGGTCCCTGTGTGTGCTATAAAGTAGTCATCGCTCCAAGCTCACTGTTGTGATGAACTACAATCTCACATTTAGTTTACCAATTTGTATTGAGATTGTAGTCCATCATGCGAGTGAGCTTGCAGCTGTGGCTACTTTACAACACACATACACAGGGCCATGGGGAACAAAGTAGCCACCCTCCAGAAGGGAGGACAGCGTCAACACCAATTCAGAGATGATTTGAGGATCTACAGCCGAGTGATGCACAAATAAGATACATTTTTGTTAATAGTTAGGGTACTAGAATGTATTTTTAAAATGTAACTCCTGAATTTAGTGTCACTTTAATTATAGGTTGGTAAGTAGCATTTCCTACATGTTATATGTAAGCCGCCTTGTACACTTTTCTAACCACTGTTAACACTTACTTTTCTCCAAAGAACTTTCTCCAGAACTCTGCAGCATCTGCTTTTGTTATACGGAAGTTATCCCCTTGAAACTGTCCGTTGGGAAATATTGCTTTAATTTCTGCCAACATGTGGCTAAATATTAAGGACAGCTTCGTAAGGTTTCTCCTGCAAAGAAGGGGGGGGGGGAAAAGCATATGTTTAGCTACGTGTTAATTCCTACTTACATTTACATCACATTACACCATTCTAGTCCAAGTTTACCTTTCCCTTGTTACATATATGCCATCTATTCATTATAAAATATTATTTATGTTTTTTAATTACATGTAATTTCCTTTCTTTTAACAAAGTATTATTCTTCTTGCTAGTTACTTCAGACCCTGTCATGTTTTTAATATGGAAGGAAGCTTTAGGAAAGAAGTGGCACATGCAAGAAAATCTGAAAACTTTGTGCCTTGCCCATGTAGCACCAGAATGAGATTAAACAGTAAATACAGAAACAGTTTGAAGATGTTCTATGTTAATGTGAGAAGTAAAGTATATTACCAGCACACCAAGGATCTGTGCCCAAAACGTCTTTATTGACTTTCAAGCAGATTGTCAAGCAAATAGCAAAATTTCAGGGTCAGAGAGGGTCCCTTCCCCAAGCATCAATGATATTATGCCTGATGAAGGAATGCTGCGGCCCCAAAACATTGCCATTTACTTTACAATCTGCTTGAATGTCAATAAAGACATTTTGGACACAGATTCTTGGTGTACTGGTGACATGTTTTACTTCTTGGATTTAAGCTGTGCCATCTGCAGCCACTTCAGCACCCATTCTACAAGGGGTACACCGGTCAGCAATGCAGTGGGATATCTATAGGATATGCATGGATGTGGGCACTATATAGAATGGAAACTGGTCACTTTCAGATTATAAACTTCTATAAGGATATTTTCTAGCAGTTAATACTACTTAAGCTACTAATTGTAGTAACTGATTATTCGGGTTATTAATCAAGCTATTTAAATGCTTGGATAAACATATTGATGTGGTTATCACACATCCATGTTTACTGTGTGCTGACTATAAAAAGAACCACTGCTCAATGCCAATTACTAGAGTACAACTCGCTAAAAAAAAGTAATCACTAGCGAGTACAGCCAAATTGTAAGTGCACCAGAGTATAATTCAATCCAAGCCAGTCTTCATATTTATGAGGTGTAAACAACACCACCCCATGACTATTTTTTTTTTTAATACTATGGACCTTTAAAAATGAATGAAAAGACCATCATTAGCAGGTACATTAATCAGATTGCAAATAATGTTTTTCTACAGCAGGCAGCAGACTGATTGAACTGACTGAAAACCACAATACTATTTGGTCAATAAAAATCGGCACTTGGAAAAAAGCTTTTCTGTTATGTACAATAAAACTCAAAACAAAACCAACATTTCTACCAGTTTTGATGACGTTCACATACCACTTCCTGACATTGTACAGGTTTGAAACAACATCCAGTTCCCTTCATCTTTAGCTGATGTTTCCTCTGCATTACTAATATTCGTTGTTCATGGATTTGTTGCATGTTTGACTTTATCTATGCCCAATATTAACTTCTAACCAACGTAAATTAAATATGTGAAAGGAGAACTCCAGCCCAGGATACTATACAAATATGCATTAGCAACAGCCCAAAGACCAGTTTAATAATTTAAAGGATTTTAAAGATTTACATTTTCTTGTTGCCGACTGCCTAATAATAAACAAGGCAAGGGATTAAAATTCTTCTCGCCCATTGCCGTCATGTGTGCCCTCCCTTTCAGAATCTCGGACAGCATTTGCAAGGAATATTATCCCTGACTTATCACACAAATTAAACCATACACAGTTCATCTGTTAGGATCCAGATCCACATCACAAGGCCAGAGAGTAACAGTGGAATAGGTCGTGTGGACTATTGCTTCTGCTAGATCACCATCATTGGAACGCTTTAATATGCAACAAAACAATTTAGGAGGAGAGGCTGCACATATTTAGAATTATGACTTGAGAGAGGAAGATGTCCGATATTAGAATAAACCTCAAATATAAAGTAAATAAGGACCTAATAGAGTACTTGTCCTGATAACAACAATATCAAAGAGCTAAGGACTTCATAAAAACAATATTCTGCTTGATCATACTTATTTTGTAAGAAAATACCCCAGCTGATGACACTGTACTCTGTATTATATCCTATGCAAATACGAAGTTCCTGAAAGTCTTGGGAGGGGGTATAAAAAATTGTTGCAGGTATAAAATCCTGGCAACCTTTCTCCCCACAAAAAAGTTCAGGTATAGTTGGTCTGCTAAGTGCTGCTTTGGGTAATGGAAAGGTATGTGCTAACTCTCCACATACCCAGGAGGTCAAGGTATTTCAAGAAGAGTGTTAGAGGGGGGTTTTAGAGGGGGGTTTAGAACAGTGTTAGAGGGGGGTTTTCCTTATGGACATGGCACTTGTGTATTATTTAATGCTTAGATCATTTTGATATTTTGGTGACCACCAATGGGCATACAGGCATTTTAGGCTCAAATACCGTCCTTAATTTTAACAGACTCTGCCAAATGCCAGACCATTCTGACAGGCAATGGTAGAACACATCCAGATAGTGTCATATACTGCTGATATGCAATGATGGGAAGCCTAACTAGCTAATAGGAATGTGCAAGAGGCGGCAAGGAAACTCTGCGGCCATCAGGAAGTGCTGAACTTTTTCCTGTCTGAGTACCTACCATTCAGCTTTGCCAGGATTTTATACCTGCAACAATTTTGGTCTTTCCCCCCCCTCCCAAGACAAAGTTACTTGCAAAATGAAAGCACAAACAATGGCCAAAATACAAAAATGTGGTAAGAGAGTTAATTTAGACACAAGAAAAAAAAAAATTAGAATGAATGCAAAGCTAGCATTTTTCAGAATTTTGCATATACATGGTAAAGTCATTTGTGTGCTGCAGGCAAACAATATTTATTACATAAATGAGAAGCCCTGAGTCATGAGAAATTTGCAAACTGTAAAACATAGTATTCAAACTTGATATACGAGACTCGGATTACAAACACAGACTAATAAATAATGAGCATAATCTAAAAAGGAATCAAATGATGTAAGTGTGGTAGTTAATGCTGTAGATCATCATAGATGGAACTTTATTTAGCTATGTGTTTACCTGCCACAAATACAAAATCTAAAATACTGTACGATACAGGCAAGAAAAAGCACTATATTACTGGCAGGGATAGGTAACTACATTTGGAATTCGTACCAGTGTCAGACCTTGACAGTAGAAAGAAGTAGAGCAAATATAAACAAAATATGCTCCTACATCACAATCTTATAGTTCAACTCTCCAGACTCTGGCAACACTGCCAGTAGTTTTGGCCCAATAGGTATAAGCTAGAGAAACAATGTAGGGTATACCTAAAAATGACTTGTTACTTTGCAAAGCTATTACAGGTCCTCTTGATTCTCCAGCTTTTGTCAAAGGCTACATTCACACATATAAATTGTAGGGCATGTAAGATACATTTAAAGGGTATCTAAACCCTCAGCAAGCAGTAGATATATGCAAAAAGTTGAAAAAAATGCTTTAAAAAAGCAGAACTATGGGGTAAGTGTTTTTCCCCATAGTTCTCCTTAGGGTAACGGGAGGACACAAACTAGCGTCCTCCCGTCACCCTAAGCTCAGTATACCGCGAGCTACAGCTCGCAGTATACTGAGACGCCGCACCTGGAGCGGATCCCGACTCGGAAGACGGGATCCGCCCAGCTGCGTGAGTGACAGCTGGCTCTGCCTACCTAGAGGCAGAGCCAGCTGTACCCGCCCCCTCCCCCGTCCGTTCCGCCAGTCAGCGCTGGCAGATCGGAGCGGGGAGAGGGGAATCCAGCCCCTCTCCCTGTCACGGCAGAGAGCCGTGACAGGATCGAGAGGTGAGGGAACCCGGTATGTGTTCCCTCACCTCCCGATCTACTGAGCCGACCTGTGACAGTCTCATTGTCACAGGTCAGCTTAGAACTATGAGGTGAGTGGAAATCACTAATTTCATAGTTCTCCTTTAACAGTGGTTTAAACTTACCTGCGTCTTCCCAGTGCGCTCCCGTCCGAAAATGTGAAAATTCTCGGGCGGCCGCAAAGGATCTTGGGGCGCGCGCATTCGCAGTTCACATTTTCGACCGGGACACGCGGAGGGACGCAAGGTAAGTCTATGGGCGCGTGCACCCGCATGCAGACACCGTGGGACAGGAAGTGCCAGCAAGCCCAGAGGAGTCAGCGCTGGATCGGACACCCGCTGCAGCGCTGGAGAGAAAAGACTGAAAACATCAGGAAAGAAGATCGGATTAAGAGACATCGCTTAATGTAAGTGCTTTAATTAACGTTGGAGTGAGGGGAAAAAAAATATATGCATTTCTTAACAAGCAGTAAATTAGCTTTAAAATAAGCCCTCACATTTGAACTGCAGGCACATCCGCAAATTTCATATTTGGGCACAGACGATGGTTTTAGTGGGTTTTTCAGCCCTGCTTACTCTTCCAGAGCATCTAAGTGTTTACATTAGAGGTTGGAAGGCCACCGAGTCACTGCAGGGGAGGGACATAGGACAGGGCTGAGCTGAACTGCCAGGAAACCATTCAGCACTGACTTCAGTGCTTCTGTTGTAAAATTCAAAAGATGAAATGTTCTGCAGTGCCTTCAGCTACAGAGTTCAGTGAGGGTTTGTTTTAATATTAATTTGCCATTTGTTAAGAACATGTAAGCCAGTGGTGTTCACCTTATTAACTATAAAGGGCCTCACTATAAAGCCCGCAACATCTCTGGAGGGCTGCACAATAGCTTTTTGTAAATTTGTTGATGCACTTTAAGTGCCTGTTCACATGACGTCCGTTTTGTGTGCTGACCGGATCCGTACGCTCCTGCACTCAAAATGCATCCCAATGTATCCCTATGTGTTTTATGGGCTACAGTTCTCACGTGCGCAGTCCGTTCAGCTTACGACAGAAAAATACTGCATGTCACATTTTGTACGGTCAGGAAACGCAAACGCGTCCAAAACGCATTGCAGCTAAAATACTAACAGCCCCACTCCAGCAAAAATTTTTTTTTTTTTTTACTGGAACGCATCAAAAACGCGGCCAA